AAAGAGGACAAGGTAAGAATTAATCTAGATAATCTAAAGAGAGAAAGAAAGGGAAGCTTTGAAAACAATTCCAGTTTATCTCCAAATACAGAGTTCAGAGACTCTTCTGAAAGTAAGTGATTCCTTAAGAAAATTCAGGCTGTCATTTCTTTCAGTGAATCAATCAATATACAAGAGCTTCCTCACATAAGTCTGGGTGCATTGAAAAATTCCATGGATGGGATGATTATTTTTTATGGGTAGTGTGTATCTTTCATATTGTTTTCCTTGCATGAAATTTATACCCTTGGAAGGGATCGAATTGTTTCAAATCTCACTACTTCTGTCCTTTGACGTAGTAGCGTGTCATTCAAGTTAATCAGAGTAGGTTTCTATTGTTTACAATTAATGTTCTTAACTGACACCTGGATCTTTTAATCTGTGAGTTTAAGCAAGTCATTTTACTTCTTTGGGTCTCTGTTTCCTCATTTGTAAGATAAGGGTTTGGATCAAATCCTCTAATGTCCCATTTAGCTCTTTAAGTCTGTGCATGAGTAACCCTAATTATTAAGAAAATATAGGACCCTGGGGTGCCTGGGTGGTGCAGTCGGTTAAGCATCTGACTCTTGGTTTCGGCTCAGGTCATGATCTCGGGGTCATGAGATCGAGCTCTGTGTCAAGCTCTGTGCTCAGTGTAGTCTGCTTGAGTTTCTCTCTCCCTCTGTTCCTCCCCACTGCTTTCTCTTTCTTTCTTTCGCAAATAAATAAATAAATCTAAAAAAAAAAAAGAAAACATACAATCCTGTCATGTAAAAAAAATATAAGAATATATATCTCTGGTTTCTATTGCCCTAGAGTATGTTCCCTCTTTAAGTGAGAGGAAAAGTACAGAAAATGAAAAGGAAAAGAAGTGTTTAAGTTTAGAACAATAACCAGAGAAATACAATATGCATTTTTCAAAATATAACATTTAAAACTGCCAGAATAAAAGCACATAATAAGTTTGAAAGGCAGGAAGGTCTTTTAACAAGAGAAAAATAGGTTTTGTCTTTGAGGAAGAAGGTGAGAAATAGTTCTTGGAAAAAAATGCATCATCTATTTTCATTACTTAGTTATCTAACAGCACAAGGCATTTTACTGTTTTGAATGTCACATAATTATCACAACACAAAAATTCCATTTGGAGGGTATCAAAAGCAAAAAAAAAAAAAAAAAAAAACCTAACAAAAAAACCAAAAAACAAAACCCACGCTTCCATGAAGCAGAATGGGCTTAGGAGGTCAAGGAGGACCTGGGGAAATGGGCTTAGGTAATGATTTGATCAAGATCTATGATTAGGGTCCTTTTGATCAGAGAGGGTGTGACCCTCCCTCATCCCCAGCCCCTGAAGCATATCTGCAGAACCAGACTCCGCAGTAGAGTTTGAAAATCATTGGCTAGTGTGACAGGCAAAGAAGCCAGGCTTCTCTAGTCAAAGATGGAGCACCTTTCGTGGTAAAAAGTTGGTGACCTCACGTTAATCCTCAAAACTTCTCTTGGTTATTTCCAATAAAATAATGTGGAATGCAAAAGTATGGGACCCACTGAATGTGTGAATACATCTCAGGCAAACTGAATGTAGCAGAGAAAGAACTGGAGATTAAAAAGAGGAAAAGGGAGGCACAGTTTGTGAGATGTGTGTAAGATGCTTAGGAAATACAGCCTGTCAGCTACTGAGGTTCTAGATCTCACACTTGCCCCAACATCAAGATGAGGAACTAGGAAGGACCTCGAAGGATTGGGTGCTTCTACCTTCCCTTTTCTTTCCTCTCTTCTCTGCCATCTTCCCCTTCAACTATTCATCCACTGATTTATCCCCTCATTCATTTAGTATTCATTTGATAATTCATAAGGGTCAGAATCTGACCTGGATACTGGAAATAAAGCAAAGAATCAGTGAGACATGCCACTGTTCTCACTAATTTTACAGTTTCCTGGGGGGGCAGGGAATGACCTTAAATAAAAAAGTATCCAGAAACCCATGTAATATGGGAACATAAAGGTATCTTCATCTAGTTAAAAGTTCCAGGGAAGGCCGTCATGAGGAAGTACAATTTAAATGTCAATTTAAAAGGTGAGGAGAAAGGAAGGGAGCTGGGCAGGCGGCAGGTGTGTATGGAATGTTCCAGACAAAGGGAACAGCATATATAAAAGCCTATAAGGGAGAAAAATCAATGCAGACCAGTCATACACAGATACAATGATATTAAGACTTCTTCCAGCTTTATGACTTTCCCACTAGCTGTCATTTCGTTAGTTTATCCTTTTCACCATTTTTTTTCATGAAGCAATACAACGCTGAGGAAAAAGTATTTAAGGGGGTTAACTTTTTTCAGAGATAGCAAGGTAGTGGGAAAACTAGAACTTTTACCTGATAGCTGGCTAGGGATGCAGAAGAGAAACTAAGTGAGGGATTACAGGTGGAAGTGCCCATCATGGAAGGGCACCTAACTTGAACCGATGATTTCCAAGCTGTAAATGCCAGTACTGCTGGGTTTTCTCTATCACTTGCTCATTTAAAGAACCCTACTAGTATAAATTAATATTCTTACGAAGTTGGAATGATGTAATGGAAGGAGCGATGGACAGGGACAAAAGTTCTAGCTCTGGTTCTACTATTGCTTTTCTGAGTGTTCTAGGGCAAACCTCAGAGCCTCAGATTTCTCTCCCAGGAACTTTATAAATATATTACTCATTCCAGATTTGATCACCAATGTGTCGTTTGACTATAAATATAGCATTTCCCAGACCAGGAGATGCAAACTGTGGCAGGACTGCTGAATGCCTTTAGTGTCCAAGATCCCCTTCTTCCTTTTAGTAACAGAACTTTCCTCCCCGTCAACCAAATTTTAAAGAGGCACATACGTGACCACCGAGCTGAAGGCTACATTTTCCAGCCTCCTCAATACTTAGTTGTAGCCACATGACAACGTGCTAAGCAATGGAATGCATGCAGCTTCTGCATCCCCACTTACATAGAGAGAGATCTCTTCTTTTTCCTGTGGCATGAAATGTGAACAGAGCATTGGTGAACCAAACCTGCCCAAACAGACTAATAACAAACATGAGAAGAGGTTGATGTTCAAGCAATAACGTGGTCAAGGAAGCTTCCTTCCTCACCTGGACTGCCTGCCTCCTTCTGTACTATCACGGGAGATAGAAATAAGCTTCTCTCTGGTTGGAGCTTCACTATTTGTAGGTCTTTCTGTTACTGTAGCTTCACCAGGATCCAACTAACTTACAAACTCAGGGGCATACAGGGACCAGGAAGTCAATATAAATTAATAGTCATCTAAATAAGGACTGCTCAAACCTAGAGAACAAATGCCGAGTGGAAAGAAGCAAACAGCTCTGTCCATCTGCCGCCACATGGGAATGCAGGCCTAGGGTTTCCAATCCTACTAATTTGTCAAGAAATCTGGATTCTCAAGCAAAATCTTACAAGTTTTAAAAATATTGGCAACTAAAAACTTGGAAAATAAAATGTTTTCTTAACATTTGGTGGCAAAAAAATAAAAAAATAATAAATAAATAAAAATAAAAATAAAAATATTGGCAACTAGTCCCAAATTTAAAAACACGACAAAACTGCAGGTTAAACAAAAATGCCTCTATACAGACTTAAGCCTATGACGGCCAGTGTGTGACCTGTTGCAGATGATGAGATAGCACTGAATATAAAATGCACAAATACACCCTCATCTTAACACACCTTTTTTGGGGGGAAAAATAAACTTTATCACATTAAATGTATACACTGACTGCCAGGTCAGCCTTGATATCAGAGATGTTAAAGTACAAAAAAACCACATATTTTTAGGATTGGAAAAATCTGATGTTTTTAGGGCACAATCTTAAATATGAAAAACAACCCAGTTGATGATGATGACAATGTAATATAATGAGTCAAAAATTCCTCAATCACCCTCAGCTCTGCAATAGGAAGTAGCTCGAAAAGCCTATAATAGCTGCAACCCACACAGTAACTAGATTATCATGAACTCAAATACCCCACCTCCATTTGACTGTCTGTGCTACTGATTGTCGCCTTTTATAATACATCTTTTTCTTCATTTCAATGTTGGGTAGCCACTCAAAAAGATACTGTACAGTGAATTTAGTCCATGTCATTTAAACTTAATAATAAGGCAAAATAAATTTTGCCATAAACATATTTAGCTAATCATTTTCGCTAAGTGTAAGTTCAGCCATAATCAGTACATTGTAACTCATCAGGATCATCAAATGTAAACTTAACTTACTTCTGAGTTACAAAATAATGATGAGGAAAACATTTATAGAACTAACGTCTTTCACGAGTATCTGATAATCCATCCCATGGCTGAGTTTATCTTCTGTTGTTTTTTTTATATCAATAAGCCTAGGCACACGGACATAGTGTGAGCGCAGTAAGGCTCTGAGACAATACGAAACACCCCAGGATGTCCAGCAGTTTTCTGTGGTGTAGAATGCCCCTTGGCTCACTGACCAGTATTAGAGTCAGGAGGTGGCTGCAAAGGTTTGTCTGAACCCGAAGCTCCTACCTAGGTAGTTCCCTAAGTGTCACATCCAAAAGCTCTGAAAGGGTCCGCAGAATAGGATGTGTCTTACCACAGACCACTCCCTGATCCTCACGGGCACCACCCTAGACCATGATTCATCTGTTCAGTTTTTAAATGACTCAATTTATAGAGGAAATGAAACACTTAAAATTCACTTTTCAAAATGGGTCATCTGACTTCAATAGTAAGAATCGAGACGCAAATCAGGACTTCCAAGTTTTCTTATTTCTCAGGAGACTTTCATTCATTCTGCTGAAAATATTCATTCAGTCAAAGGAAGCTCACTATTATGTATAATATTAAGTATCTGTTCTGAGTGAAGAACACAGAGGGTTAAGTTTAAATCTGGCCTTAAGTCTTTTTCATTATTTATAAGTTTACACCAATTGTTCCCGTAGTTTTGTGTTTTTGTTTGTTTACCTCTTCATATATTCCAGTGCATTCATAATAGTCTCTGGAAGGGAGGCCAAGTCGAGGCTGGTCAATCTATAAAAAATATACAAGGAAAAAAATAAACCGTTCAGTTGATGTGGGACAGCTGGACAACATATAAGCATGTTTATCTATGTATGAACAAGATCCTAGTGTTCTTGCTGTTTATAAGGGTGACAATCAGACAATGAGTGAATACAAATTAGGCAATGGTTTCCACACCACTTGGAAGTGTTACACTGATGGGTAGTTAAGCAATCTGGAAGATTATGCTGCAGGTATTTGAGGAAAACCAAAGAAAACTTGAATGAAAATACACTGGGAAGGATTTTTAATGCAAAATGGAAGGGGCAGGTGGACAAAAACATGTTAGAATCTAGGACTTGGAAGTTTCTAAATTATACATTTACAGGACATTTGGCTTCCTGAGATCCTAATATGCTCTCCTGGGGGACATTCTCTTCTACTCTCACCCTTAATTGGGATGGAAAAAAACAAAAATTGGAAACCTCTATGGTAACTCTAGAACTGTTTGGCTAGGGGAAATCTTGCCAGAGATTTTTTTTACATCCCCTACCCTAGGGGGATAGAGGAGACTTCTCCTCAGTTCTCTCCCGCTCTGCTCAAATCCTGGCAGCTGGGTGTGTGAAAGAAGAAACAAGGCTCTGCTCTGGTGTGTCTGGTCCACTGTCTTCCAGTGAGAGCCACCTGGACACACTCCCAGCTCTGTGAGATTGCTTCCTATGCACGGCATGGTTAGATGGGTCCGGGGCAAGTGAGAGCACGGATGGATTAGAGTGAGAAAGCCAGCAGCTGTAAAGAGCCCACGACAATACGAAAAGCCAGAAGGTGTCACCACAGGTAGGGTTCAGCCCCTTTCCAACCTTCCAATTCCCCCTAGGAAATCTCTCCATGGTGATCATGGGGGATGCTGGCACTTAAGAGCCAAAGGAGTGAATTCTGGAAGGAGAAAGGGGTCCACTGTAGAAAAGAGCTGGGTTCAATTTCTTTTATGATTTGATAAAAATGGCCATAAAGATTTATGCAATAGTGACATAAATATGAATCTGTGACTTGCAGCTTTTGGGGTACTCTCTTTTACAGGAAACCAAATAAAAGTTCTGTAAATGTTTTAGTCCATTCCAAACATACTCATTAAGTATTAATCTCATCTTAGGTGGCACCTTAAGTAAACCTAAATGAATGGCTTACATGAGAAAAAAAATCTAATAAATCCATTTTAAAAGAATATTTTATTTACTTTCACCAAAAAAAAAAGTTCAGATATTCTTTAGTAACAACCAAAATTGTATTCAAAAACCCTTTTCTATGTTCTTTTTGGAAGCAATTAGAAATTTTGGTTTCTAGACTTGCATTACTTATGTAAACCAAACCATGCTCTTTTCATGAACACAGAGAAATCGGGCGCTTTTTCTAAATAGGAGGCCCTTTCATTTCTTTATTTTATGAAGAAAGCAGTATCTAGACCAACGGTAGCAGAAGGGAGAGATGAATGTCTAAAACACAGCATTAAGAAAATACTTCCAAAATTGGAAATCCAGGTATTGGGGACAGAGCACAAATTTATTACTATCTTGCTCATGCAATTCAAATGAGAATATGCATTATTTCTAAATATCAATAACAATGTATGTAGACATTTTATCACAATTTAAAGATAACTTTGACTGTCAGCCACACAAACTTACATGAATTATATGGTTCATAGAGTTCTTATCATCAGTGCCAACAAAAAAATTAAGAATGACCTTTTTCCCATATTTAGAATTCAGTTGTGCAATAGATTTCTCAGCCGTCCAAGAAGTACCTAAAGCAACGAAAGGTGAAGTATACTTTTAGAAGGTTTAGTGCATTAATATGATACTATAATAACACAGATTTTACGTGGAAATTATTTTTTAAAAAAGAATAAAAAATTGCCTTACCATATGTTCGCTCCCAGTTTTCTGTTGCTACTGGCCAATCGGATATATTTGGTAACAGACTGAGTAGAGGTTTTCCGCCTCTGCTATCAATGGCAGCTTTTGAAAACAATGAAAATAAATTCATTATGAAGTCTTTGCATATTTGGGCACACTGTTAATGAGATAAAATGGAGAGCACTTACATTCATTTATACAAGATCTGTACAATGTTTTTGCTTTCTGCACTGCTACTATATCTTCAGTTTTGGGTTCTTGAAGAACATCTGAAATAGAGCATTTAATAAAACACATCAATAAAATTGCTCTTTTGCAGCTGTAATTAACATTTGCAATGTGGGTTCAGAAAAAAAGCTTGTTTTTGTGTATGTAGGTTCACTCCGTTCTCATTCTAAACTCTATAGGAAAAGCTAAACCCCTTACCTTATTCCTAGTGCAGAACTGGGAGTTGATTTCATTAGCCAAGTTAGATGAAAGTCTTTTCGACGAGATTATCTTTTTTGTGAACAGTGAGGTGTACTGCTCTGCCATACATAAGTTACTGTTTTTGAAATTGAAATTAAAAAGAAATAATAATGCAGAGGAATATGGAATTTAATATGATAGTCTTCTATCTATGGCTGGAAATAATTATCTTTGTGTGATTGTACTATTCATGCTCCAAATAAACTGACTGAATTATTCTACTTGTTTGGAGTTTGAAAATAGCAAAAATTGTGTTTCTACAAAGTAACTTCTAGAAGAGGGGAACAGAAGATGGAGGATAGCAGAAGACTAGACAAGACTTCCTCAGCTTCCCAAGGAGAATGTCTTAGATGGGTTAGAATAAATATACCTGCTCTGGGATGCAAATGTCAGTAACATCTTCAACACAATAACGACTCAATACTGACTTCGACCCAGGACCAGAGTGGAAAAACAATGGAGGTAGTGTTTAGTGGCAATCAATTAATTTCTTCTTATGTGAAATGGCATAAAGATGCCATCTGTAGGAATAACAGAGCTTTATCGTACGTGTACCCACACATGAAAGCAGGAATGCTGAGATGCCAACATATCCATTTCAGTGTTACCACCCTCAGAGTGACTTAGTGGTGAGCCACAAAACTTGGAGGGATTATCGACTTTAATCTTCTGTGACATTCTCCATAATGGCTAAGAGTTGTATCTTTAAAAAATGGATATATTAAGAGAGAAATCTTTGATGCATAGACACAAACTCCACTAACCTTTCAAAATGACTTCTAGTTCATCTCTTAAAATGTCAAAGTTACTGTAACGGGAGCTGGTCTCAGGAATGACGTTGCGTTTCAACCAGCCTCCACAGGCATATTTAAAAAAGTCTGTACAAGGCTCAGCAGTAGCATCCATGTTCTGGATCAGTCGAGCGGCTGAAAGACCAGAGAAAGAACGAAATAAAACGAAGGGTGTATTTCTTAAGTAGTTTGGAAGGGGGAACAAGAGCCTTGTTGTTTCTCTTTTATGATCAAGTCAACTGGACTGAGACTCCTTTTTCTTTCTTCCGTTACTGTCAATTGAAGAGGAATGATGACTATCTATGTATAGTCCTCCTCTCCTTTATTATAGTTGGTTTGGTGTATTTCTGAGAGGTCTTGGTCCTCCCATCCTACATCTCACCCCCACCTCCAAATAACCGAAGTTCTTGCTAGTTCCTATCTCAGATGAAAAAAAGAATACCAGTCTGCCTTAGCCAGCCTGAGCCTGGGGCTGACACAAGGTGTCTCTTTACTCTAATAACTTCAGCTGCTGACTTTACTCTTCAAGGTGCTGTGACTTTTGAATGTCTCTGAGACTCCAAGGGATGTGGGATTGTTTTTTGTTTTTTGTTTGTTTTTAAGTAATCCTTACACCCAACGTGTGGCTTGAACTCACAACCCCGAGATCAAAGAGTCGACAGCTCCACCGACTGAGCCAGCCAGGTGCCCCTGTGGGACTGTTCATGGATTTTATCATTTTAGTAAAGATCTGAAGCTGCCGTTATTACTTCTTGGACCTTGCTTACAATATTTTTGCAATTCAAATTGGACATCTGATTTGCATTTGTTTTTGTAGAGTCTGTCATTATAAAATTGGCTGTAAGCTTGTTAGCTTTTCTTATGTCCACTCTTTTATCTTTGAGAACCACGATGAAAATGCAAATGAGCCAACAGGGAGTATTTACAGTGTGCAAAACACTGTGCTAGGTACCGCAGTTGATAGAAGGATGCATAAAATAGGAATTACTGCCTGAGGAGGATATTACGTCCAGGAGGCCCAACGCCCACAGTTTCTAACACCTGGAATAGTTAGAAAACCTTCCCACTGACCTCCCCACGTTCCTTCTCCTACAAGTTGAACTGTTCTGCAGTGAAAACAAAAGAGCAATTGAGAATGCAGCTGTATCGCGAGAGGGTAAGTTCTCAAACAAGCTTTTGAAAATACTTTGCTTTCTGAAAAAATTAATTCATTAATTAAAAACTTCAAACAATTGCTAAGGTGTGCGGACTTTTTCAACTGGGAATGATGGTTCAGTCTATATTCCAGCTGAACGTCAAGTCCCCGCTTCTCATCACCTTCTGGGTGTGTTTGCTTGGCTGCCCCCTCAAGCTCCATGTCTCTGACGCTTAACTACTGATCATCTCCAGACCAGTCCTCTTTGGGCTTGTGCACAATGGTGTAGAGCACGGCCCGTATCACGGCCTCCCAGGTTTGAGCCTTGGGTAAAACTCTGTATTTCCCCCTGCCCTTTAGGCTTCTTGGTAACTCTTTTGCCTCTTTTCTGTACTCTTGCCTTGATCAGTTTTTATTCTCACTCCCTTTTAACTAGCAGTCCCCCATCTACTCATCATGCTAGCACCCTCTCCCTCCTTGGATATATCGCACACATCTTTCACAGATGAAACTTCCCCAGATACACTTTTGCTAGTCACTCTTTCACTGGAAAATGTCAGTGGCTTGACACTGCCCAGGTTAAATTACAAAACTCTTTAAGTTGGCCTCTAAATCTTTCCAAGACTAGTCAAAAGTCTCCCTCTGCCTTTTCTCTTTATATCCCGCCTCTGTGTTTTTATACAAACTCTCTGCTCCAACCAGATAGGCTTGCTCCATTTGCCACAAACACTCCTGTGTTTCTCTACCCGGTACTATTTCCTCTCTCTCCCTCACCCCACCCTTCTAACTTCTCTTCCCTTTCTTCCCAAATGCTACCCACTATTCATTGTTCAGCATATGTCCCATCTTTTCCCTGAAGTTCCCATGACTCCACACTTCAGGGACTCTTTCTTTCTCTGAACTCCTGAGAGCTCATGGCCTCACTCAGTCTTGAATGCTCAGATGAGGTTTCTGATTGAGGACACCTACGGTGTCTTCCTGACCATTCTGTTGATGAACTTAGCCTCTTTGTATTCCCATCATCTAGCACCTCATAAAAGGCATATGCACAAATGGTTATGTGTGACCACCGCACTGAGTCATCTGTGAGTCCTACTCTCTCCTCCCACACACCCCCTCCTCTGCTCCTGCAGGTCAGACCAGTTCTCATCTCATGGCCTCCAGTCCATCCCATCCTTGCAATGCCCACTGTTTCTGCTCTGTTTTGGGCCCTCCTTCTCTTAGGCTCTATCTAGGCCCTTTTGCCCAGGTTATGGCCCCAGGCCTCTCCCTACTCCAATCCATCCTGTGTGCCAGCCCGATTATTGCCATAACATTTTCGCATGCCATTTCCACTCTGAGGTTTTCAATATGCTCCGTCTGCATTTATAATAAAATCCAGAAAAATATATAAATAATACAAATATAATAATAAAATCCACACCTGACACTAATATAACACTGCATGTTAATTATACATGAATAAAAAGAAAACAAATAAAATCATGGATGGAATAAATGACTCTAGGAGAAATTTAAAAAAAAGAAGAAAATCCAGATCCCACAGCATATTCTCACTCTGATTTTATCCCGTGAACTTCTCTCTCCCCACTTCCTCACATGTGCCGTTGGCCCCAGTTTAAATGACTGTGCTCAGTTTCTGCTGTGAATGCCTATAGTTTTCTGCTTTTGTAACTTTGACCATGGTGCATCAGCCCCTGTTAAAATATCCTTTTTAATTTTTTCATGTTTAGAGATTTCAGGCATTTCCAAGGCTCAGTTCAAATCCTCCTTCTTTAAGGACTATCCTCACAAAATCCGTATCAGCTGCCATCGTATTCATTTTTGTTGTTGTTGGAAAAACCATGATCTCCTCACCTAGACTGTGTGGTTCCAGTAAAGAAGGGAATGCGCTTTCCAGGTCTCTTACAGAGCCTCATGTTGCACTCAATCAAGATTTGTCAGTAAAAACTCTAACTTGAAACATCAGGTAGAGATGAGGAAATTGATTTCAAAAAGGTAGAAAAAGTAATTCCCTTAAACGTCGAAGGAAATGAAGAGATGATGACAGGGGAAGTGAAAATAAAGACCCTCAACACTTGGAGAATTATCATATAAAAAGTGAAAAACCAGAAAATTGGAGCCTGAAAGAAGTGCTAACCAAAGATGTTCTAAGCATACATTTTTAGCAATTTTATGTAACTCTTGTCTTTTAAAATACTTTTAAGTATTTAAACTGAATGTTGTAGAGGCAACTGCCATTTTCGGAGCACTTCCATTTTCTTCCCCTCCCTGGGGAAATGGATGGTTTATGTCCTAACACCACAAGGAGCAATAAACTCCAAGGAGGGGAGAGCAGTGAACGAGTAATGAGTGAGTAGAATGAACAAGGACACTAATGAGCAAGTCTTACTGCCAGTTTGGAAATATCTCATGCTCTTTTAAACACCTTGAAGAAAAAGGAGGAGCAGTGGAGCAGCTCCATGCTTGTGAGCACAAGTCCGCTGCCATGTGAAATGCCTCTACACTTCTCACATCTCCCACAAAGGAAACAAGTGATCTTTCCCCGATCAGGTTGAATTCGTACTTGACACCCAGTTAAACGACTTCTATCTGGAAAACAAACCAAAGAAGCAGTGTTCAAACAATTTGTGAGGGCTGTGCAGGCCAGAGATAGGAAGAGGCAACTTTGCCAACTCCTTCCTGTGCCACTTTTTAAAACTTCCCTTTGACCAGAGAGCTCATCTGAGCATGGGCGCTTCCAATTACTTCAAAGAGTGCTCTCTGTTCTGGTGAATATTTTGGGGCCGTGGGCCAAGGCAAGTCATGAGCTAGCACTTTTATGCCGGGTCTTTGATCAAGCTTCCTTTAATCTCTTATCGTGGGTTTGATTCTCGGTTTGCACCTTATCCTCCGGACCTCCTCTGTGCTGACTTTTCTTTGAAGTCAGCGGTAAACCTGTGGGTAGGAGGGCTGTAGGAAACAGACACACAACTGTCAAACTGGTTGTAATTGTTTTTATATTTTGCACTTTGTTTTGAATTACTCAACCTCTCCACAGAGCCACACCTGGGCTCTTCAGATGTTTCCTTATCTGTGTGTTTCTGACTTCTGAGTAAACAAGTGTGGTTTAAAAGCAAATAAAAGTATTCACCTTCATCAGCAGACATAAAAAATGATGTAGGAAAGGCAAACGTATTGACACAGAATGTTGCTGACCAGATATTTGTGAAGTGAAAGAAACAGTACTTACACTTTTTAAAAATCTATATAAAAGCACAGAAAGTCTAAAAGACATTTACAGCAGTTATATCTAGGTTGGTGGATTATGAGTGTGTTTAATTTTGTATTAGTTGCTTATCTTTATTTTCCAATTTGTATTAGATGAACATGCATTGCTTTTGCAATAAGAAAGAAAAAGCATTTTTAATTTAAGAAAATAGTCACATAAAGACAAGAAAAATAATCTTCTATTAATAATGAGCTTATTTCTTATGAATGACAATTCCAAATGTTCTAGGCTGATAATCTATGACACACAATTTTTTCCCTAACTAATCTTCTTGTAACATTCTCCCAAATTCCTTGACTATAGGAATTTTAAAACAAGCTCAACTACCATCTGGGAAGTTATTAATTACTGTATTCATTACCAAGGGTCCATTGTGTGGGTATGGATTAGAAGGTGCTGTATAAGCTGGGAAAATGTTTGGGTTCCTTAAATCAGGCAGACCTGTTTTGAATCCCTGAGCTTCACCACTTTTCAATTGTACAAGATTAGGTAATTTCCCCAAGATCAAGCAGCTAGTAAATGATGGAGCCCCAGGCCTTGCACTTAGGCTCTCATGGGGGCTCCAAGTTCACCACCCTCTTCCCTCCATATTTTGGGTAGACCAGATGGGGCTGTGTGAGAAGCAGTGATCTGCATTCTCTCTTCTTTTCCACTCCTTCTCAGCTGCCTTTATTTTCCCCTTGCCCTCTACTTCCTCCCCCGCCTGCCACTATGTAAGCGCTGCTGCCC